CCCTACCAGTGATGCTGGTAATACAGGAAAATAGTGGCAGCTAATACAAGAAAATAGTTCAGGAACAAGGAATCACCTGGCTCAGATGTAGCTAAGAACCCAAGGAAGATGGAGACCAAGCTGTGACTGTTTTCAGCACTTTCTGTGCAGTAGTGATAAACAGGTTTGGGGGCATTGAAGATGAAGAAGTAGAAATAGTGAGTGAAGATGGTTGTTTTGAAGGTGTTTGCTATAAAGGAAGGCAAAAAAGTGGGACCACAGCTAGTGGGAGAAATGGGATTAAGGAAGTGTTTTAAAAACAAAAAGAGATATAATTACAGAGCATGCTTGCAATTGATGGGAATGATCTAGTGGAGACAGAGTGGGAGGGGATAATTGAAGGAGTGAAGTCCTTGAGAAGGCGAGAAGAGATAAAATCCAGGGTGCTTATGGAAGGAATGGCTGTTTGATAGGATCAGGGTCTTATCTTTTATTGTAACTGGAGGGAGGGCAGAGAAGATGGATGGTTGCAGCTAGGTTTGTAAATTTGATGGTGAGAAAAGGAGCAGTTTCTGCTCTGATGCTTCTGTTTTTCCAGTGAAGTATGAAGCGAGAGTGGAAGGAAAGGGGTTTGAGAAGAGAGAAGACATAAAATATCATCTCGGAGAGTGGCAAGTCAGGTTACTAAAGAAGTATAGCAGGGTTGCTGTGCATTAGAGAGAGTTCATTCAAGATTTATGATAACAAATATAATATGAAACAGTCAACTAATTCTATAATTTTTTTCCAGCCACTTTCAGTTGCTCCATTCCCAGCACAGAGAAGAGATATAGCTGGATTCATCCACTGTTGTACTTTTGTGAGATGAATGCAATGATTGAAGACTGGAGGAAGGAAATGAAGGGTATTAGTGAAGGAATGAAGGGCCGTGAAATGTAAGCTGATTAAGGAGGGAATTAAAAACAGGAAGAATGCACAGGGGATTGGGAAAGGTTAGAAAAGGGATATTATTCATTCATTGGTTTACTCATTAGCTAGAACAATGGAGCTCCTACTGTGTGCCATACACTGTTCTAGGCCCTGTGGATATGTTCGTGAGCAGGACGGATCGAGTCCTTTCACAGAGTAGGGTGAGATGGACAATAAAGAATTCAAACTAATAGGCATTAAAGTCAGATATTGGCTGAGGGCTATGAAGAAGTGTGAAAGGGGTCAGGAGATAGCATCAAGTGGGAGGGGAGAGCAGAGGCGATTGAGATAGGTGTCCCAGGAAGGGAATGCTCTCTAGTAAAACTGAACAATGATGACCAACCCGGATGGAGTGATGGGACAAACCTGTGAATGACAATGGGTGGAGTGTGCTAGGCTCAGGGAACAGCCAGTGCTTTTCTATTTTTTAATGTCATTAGCAGCTGAATAGTAAAGCCAGCGAAGTCATGATAAACAAGGTATTTTTTCCTTCCCTATTGTATTTTTAAGTGGTGTTTTCATGCATACCAAAGTCACACAGCTGGTTTAAGCAATCGGTTGTTGCACAAGTCTTTAGAGTGAACAATTGGTTCAGTCAGAAGTCTCATTTAGGTAGACCAAAAGTGTAAAATAAATATAAATGTACCCTATATAATAGATTCATGTCTAATTTGTTTATCATTTCATTCTCCAGTGACCAGCATTGGAATGCCACCCGTAATGGGATTCAGTTAATATTTGAGTGGATTTTTATGCCCATATATAGTTTAATACCTACAAACATAAAACGTTCCCCCTTCAAACCTTTTCAAAGAAATTCTTCTAAGGGAAGTGTTCGAACATAAACCCAAGGTCTCTTCTCTTTGCCTTGGGAGTGTGGGGACTTGCTTTAAATGGCTTTTTAAAAAATTTAGATATAATGCACATACCATAAAATCCACCTGTTTAAAGTATACAATTTATTGGTTTTTAGTATGTTCACAAAGTTGTGTGACCATCACCATTACCTAATTCCAGAACATTTTTATCACCCCAAAAAAGAAACCCCATACAGACTGGAGCCATTAAGAGTCACTCCCCATTCCCCCCTCTTCTCATCCCCGTCAAGCACTAATCTACTTCCTGTCACTATTTGCCTATTCTGGACATTTCATATAACTGGAATCACACAATATGTGTCCTTTTGGGTTTGGCTTCTTTCACTTTGGCATAATGTTTTCAAGGTTAATCTATGTGTTTAGCAGGTATTAGGACTTCATTCCTTTTTATACCTGTATTATGTCCTGCTGTGTGGATATACCATATGTATTCATATATCAGTTGATTCTAACTTTATAATATATGTTTTGAAAGAATACATTAATGTATTACCAGTTACTTATTTAAGCTGCTAGTTGCATTACTTAATTTTTCTCCAGAAATCTGAGTAACATTGGCCCTGAAGGAAATGTTCCCTGTGTGCTGTGGCTCTGCAGCCCCTGGGCTCACTGCCCACTGCATGGGTGCATGCCAGTATTTCAGCGGCATTCTGGTGGGGCATTGGGAATGCAACTCTGAACAGGTGGTGGCTTATCTTTTTGTCAGTAAATATTGCTTCTTCCTGGAAGAATCATAAAATCATAAAATCTTGCAATTTAAGAAGTAGACAGGATTCTTGGAGCTTATCTAATCCAATCCCTTTGTTTTATAGATCTTTGAACTGAGGGAGAGGTCCAAGAGGTCAGAATGCCTGCCCAAGTTCCTACAGCTGGTTAGTTAGAGAACTTGGATGAGAAGCCAGATCTCTTGCCTCCTAGTTCAGTGCTCTGACTACTAAACTTCACTTTGTCTCTGTTTTATGAATTTAAAGTCATAAAAAATAAACATAATTCATGTAGGTGGCATTTTCAGATAAAAATTTACAGGAAATGCTTTCAGAGTCTTGAAAAGCTATTACTTTATACTATAATTTATAGGGAAAGATGGAGAAAATAGGAGCAATAAAGAAATATTCTCACTGTGAGTCTGTGCATAAGGAAGGAAGAATTATAGGCATTTGTAAACAGACCATTATAAACAAAGGTTCAACTATTCCTATTCATTTCCCTTAAGGTCAGCCTTTTTTATTCTAATCACATTCTAACATTTACAAACCAGTAGTTTAAAAACAGGGTATAAGGATAAGGCATGATTATATTATCCAAGTGTAGTCAAATTGAGCAATGGATTATGCAGTTAATCACCTGGATCTTCTAAATGTCATGCTGGATATAGTTTATCCCTCTCACAGTGAGTCAGAAGCAGGAATGGGTTCATTCGCTATTTCCAGTAAGCAGCTTACCACCAGCAGGTGTTGTGACTGGTGGGAAAGGGGAGGACCGGAATGCACACTTATTTGGGATCTCAGAAGTGTACCCTTGAGTCCTTGCTTACGGCCATACATGAGGCCATAGGCAGCTGAGAGTGTTGGCAGCACTGCAGCTACCCCTCAGCTTAGAAGAGGCTCTGGATCCCTTCTGAGTCTGGGAATATTGTTCCCTAGCACAAAGCTAGGGAACAGCCCTCCCTGTGCCGTGTACAGCCCTGTGGTCCAGGCATAGGTCTCAGCTCTGCCACTCTCTGTATGATCTTGGGCACATCACCTCAAGATCCAAGTCTTTCATCTGTAAAATTAGGGGGTGGGGGGTGGGGGTAGACCAGTTGATCTTGAAAAACTCTTGGCTTTAAAATGCTATAGCTCTAGAACCCAGTGATTTCAGATGTCACGTATATTGAATGAGTAGTAGTATATAAAGGTGATAAGAGCTCAAACCTTAAAGTTAAACAGAACCATCTTTGAGTCCCGTGTGACATTGAGCAAGTTACTTAACTTCTGTAAGCTTTTGTTGTGTTACCCTTAAAAGGGGAATGATGATAAATAGTACCTAACTCATAGGACTGTTGGGAGCAAAAATGATATTACGAGTGCAGTCTTTAGCACAGTGCCTGATACATCCTAAGATTCAGTAAATATTTATTAGCAGTAAGCAGTATTGTTATTTTCTTTAGGGATATTTTATCCTGATAACATAGTGTTCCCTTTAGAAATAAAGGAATATAATTCCAGAAAATTTTAGTAATATTGTAAAGTATGTAGACTACAATTTTGTTTAAAAGATTATAATCAACCCTAAAGTAAACTGGAAAAGAAAACATTACTTAGATGATTGAGTGTTAGGCATGATTGGGGAAGAAATGGGATGCAAAGAAGCAAGTGAAAGAAACCTGGCTTATTTTTTCCTTGGCTTTATTGTTGTCTGTAATTTTCCTCTTAGGTATTTTTGTTCTATCTTAATTTAGAGATAGAATCATCCATGGAAAATTTAACCAAGTTAATGGCTATTCAGAAGTGAGGCCCTACAGTATTTTTTCAAAAATAACAACATTATTTTTGTTTTTGTTTGTCATGTAGAGATAAATAGTAAATGTATCCAACTCCATGTAAGCTGCCTCCTTGTCATTTCTGCTATTACTTTTGCAAGTACTATTTTGGTGTGAACCAAGGACGTAGAAGCTTAATAATTTTGGAAACAGACACTCAGATATTTTTCCTCAGGATATTGATATGAAACTATCACTATTCAATAGTAGTTTGCTGAACTATCTGAAGGAATTTAAGATAAAATATTTACAGAATCAGAACCCATTTGTAAAATACTGTGGGGAAAGTTGGCAACTCTAAGTTTGGTGGTCGATATCTTAGAGAATTAACTATTCAGTTCTCCAAAGAAGAGGTGAGCTGTCTGCGGATGTGTAAGGGACTTGATAGTGGAGATGAGATTTTTAATGGTCATCTCTGAATATGTATGCCCTGTATGTCCCACACCTATTCCATCACTATCTTGTCTTACTTCACTGTTGTATGTGACGAACAAAAAAAGGAACGTTTTGACTCCTCACTATAATCTTGCCAGCTTCTGATATGAATAACTCAATGCAGAAATGACTCATCTCTCTGCTTTTCACTGCATTGTAATTTCTGGCTAGGGTAATGTTCTTTAGTCTCTAATGTTTCTGTTATACTTCTTTTATAGGAGGCCAGTTGTAAGAACTCCTTGCCCATCCTTCTAACAAAAGACATAGAGAGAGATGTGCAAAAACCGTCTCCAAAAACCAGGGTGAGTTATGTCTGCTCTTGCGGCTGCCACGCGAAAGCTTTAGCAGGGCTCTTGATGTCGTCATGTTTCAATGCTCTGTTGCTTGCTTTTCTCTCAGCCTCTTTTTCTTTTTTGCACCTGGTGGTATAAACAGCACTTTTTATTGAGTACATTTAATTCAAGGTTATATTCATCCAAAAATTCTCAGTATACTCCTATTATTTAACAGAGAGTGATATTTTTTAGTAGTGATTTTACTTCTGCTCAATCAGAATTGTTTCCAGCCTACAACATAGGAAATATTCAAGTGTCATAAACCTTTCCTGGGTTACTTCAAGGGGTAAAGTATCCAACTATCATTTTTCTTTTTCAAAATAGAAATCATTTTATTGATTTTCATAAATATAGAAGTAACACGTAATCAATGGAAAGTATTTAAGTAAATTTTAATAAGAAAAAATAAGAATTATCACATATATGACAGAATAAAGGATGTGATGTGTAAAATTTTGTTTTCTTTGTTAAGAAAAATCCAAAATGCACGTAATTGTTTTGGCCAGTGAAAAGAAAAATTCCTTGAACGCAAAATACCTCATGAGAATTTGATCATTTGTTTTGTCCAACCAGAAAAGTGATTGCATTAATTTTAAGACCCCTTTCCAATCTTGAATCTCTTTTGGGTAGAACTTCTCCTATTTACTAGGCATATATAATATTCCTCACTGGCCACTGTGACATTTATAGAGCTACTTTTGTTTTCTAGTTCTAAGACAAAATGTTCTCCAAACTTTGAGTCCACTGTAGGCAAAATATAAAAGAATTCTAGGGATCGGCCTGGTGGCGCAAGCAGTTAAATGCGCGTGCTCCGCTTCGGCGGCCCAGGGTTTGCAGGTTCGGATCCCGGGCGCGCACCAACGCACTGCTTGTTAACCCATGCTCTGGCGGTGTCCCATATAAAAAGTAGAGGAAGATGGGCACGGATGTTAGCCCAGGGCCAATCTTCCTCAAGAAAAA